TATTTCAGATGGGGAAACTGAAGCACAGAGAGGTGAAGTGACTTACCCAAGCAAGGTCAGCCAGCAGCAGGTCACAATGAGGGGGTTAAAGTGGAAGAGCATGAATGAAAGAATGTGGGTGGGGCACCTACTTATCCCATGTAGGTAGGGAAGGGATAGAGATAGAAAGAATGGCAGTTCCCAGGGAACATCAAATTGATTAACTTGACTTTACTCTCAAGTATCTTACACTACTTTTGACATCACTGCTGAATTTGGTCCTCTGTTTTCTTTAGCACTTGTGACATGGGGATTTTCCCATCTCTTGATTTGATATTTCAGTGAACTGCCTTAGTAAATGAAAAGGAGAGTGATTGCCTTGGCTTGATTTGAAAATATGTTTCTGACAATGGTTAATAAATGATTCACAAGCTATGTTGCTGGGGTAACAGTAACATAAAGCAAGTTAGCAAAGCTGGGCAACCGCCAGTTTACTCATGAAAGTCGCATTTTCTCTGGAGATTTATACATAATTAAGGTTGAAAGCATTAAAAAATATAGGATTCTGGGTGAGCCTGGTTCCTGAATAATAGAGATATGTATTGTTCTAATTTGTAGGCCCAGTCACCCATTTCTTCAGCTGAGAGGAATTGGGAGTGCTGTTAAATTAGTATGTTATGTTCATCCTTTACAGGGATCAAATGCCTTGTGTCACACACTGATGATTCCTCTGGTTGATTTAAAGCAGAATTTTCTGGCTCTGAAATTAGTTCTGTCTTAATCTTTGAGTCCAAAAGGAGGGGCTGTGAGAGCAGTGGGGGTAAAGGGAAGATTAAGGGGATTATCCTTAAGGCTAGAACCCAAGACAAAAATTAAGATTGCCTTACTGGGAAATCAGTCATATAAACATTATATGGGTATTATATTATTTTTATTGCATCAGTATTTTTTACATGCAGTAATTGCCTTTGAGCACTGGGAGGTAATTAATCTTGGGCCAAATCTCTGGCTATGTCAGAATGGCAGAGTGCAAGGCAGAGATTTAAAGCTCACATTTGCACTCCACTGTTTCTGTTGCAGGCCATAATGGTCAGGGGGAACAAAAATGCCACATCCCCTTTTCTCCAGCTATGCCCCTTTTTCCCTGCTGCACCAGCAACAGGCAGAGTATGTGACATAAGAGCCCTGCATTGGCTCTATCCCACTGGATGGTGATCCTTACTCTGGGGTGATCCTTCTTCAGATTGTTGAAGAATTAGAAGAACTAGATAAATTCATGGAGGATAGGTCCATCAATGGCTATTAGCCAGGATGGGCAGGAATGGTGTGCCTAGCCTCTGCTTGCCAGAAGCTGAGAATGGGCGACAAGGGATGGATCACTTGATGATTAGCTGTTCTGTTCATTCCCTCTGGGGCACCTGGTGTTGGCCAGTGTCAGAAGACAGGATACTGGGTTAGATGGCCCTTTGGTCTGACCCAGTATGGCCATTCTTATGTTCTTGTGTTCTTATTTTACAGCAAGATTATGGAGGCAGTGCAGTGTGAATTGGCTGCACAGCACCAAAAGATCTATCTGTCTCTCTTTCTCTCCTCTTTTTTCCTCTATGTATATTACATCCAAAAATCCTACATTAAAAGAATGTTCAGGTTGCAAAGTTAAGCCCTTCAAAGTTAGGAAATGCTGGAATTAAGGTTACCCATGCAATTTTAATTCAACCGTCTTGTGTGTATGCATTATGATACAGTCTTTAATGACATGATCACATCCTATTCTTTCCCACAGGATTCCTGACTCATTTATGAATAGGCAATTATTCAATATTTCTTTTTATCTTCTTCATTCGATGTGTGTCCCTAGATTTTATTAACTACCATCCGAAACTGCACTGAATACAAAATTATTAATTTCCTCCTGGACATTTCTGTGATGCTGACATCATGGCATCTGAGTGCTTCCCAAACACTAATGAGAGAGAAACACTAATGCACAACACCCCTGTGAGAACAGATGGTATTATTATCCTCCCTTTACAACTGGGGAACTGAGGCACAGAGAGATTAACACCAAAATTGTCTACTAATGTTAGGTGCCCACTTTTGGCCTGATTTTTCAGAGTACTTAGTATTTTAAAGCACTTCAGTATTTTCAAAGCACAGCTCTAATTGACTTGGCAGCTGTGAGTGCTCAGAACTTACATTAAATTCATGCTTCTTGTCCTTAGACATCCTCCCTAGCTCTGCCCCTCTCTATTTATCTACTCTTGTATGTTCAATAGTTTCTCTCCCTGATTCTGGTTTGCTGGTGGTGCTATCCATTTCTCCACTTCTCCTGCAAGTGTTTTTGTGCCTTCTTCTTTGCCGTCTCTTATGCTAGCAACACCTTCCTCATAAAGCCTCTTCTGCTTTAAATCCCTTATGCAACCACATAGAACAAAAGCTCCCACAACAGTTGCGCAAGGAAGGGGTAGGAAATGAGAAAACATAACCCCACAACCATCCCCCAGAGATAACACATAGCCCCAGTGGCTTATTCCCCAACCCTCTGTGAGAGCACAACATGAAACAGGAGCTTCCCTAACTCTGGAGGGAGTCAGGAGAAGAGACAGCTGGGCTCACCTCTGGACACCACACTGGATTCCTAAATGGGAGCTGTGCTATTTTGAAAAATCATGTCATTTTTTTTAGGTGCCTAAATTACAGCGGTTGGGTGCTGAGCTATTTTGACAATCTGGCCTCATTTCATAAACATTTAATAAAAGAATTTCTTGAATGTTTGTTTCTTTCCTTGCAAAAACAGCAAACATAGAACAAAAACAACAAGGAGTCTGGTGGCACCTTAAAGACTAACAGATTTATTTGGGCATCCGAAGAAGTGAGGTTTTTACTCACGAAAGCTTATGCCCAAATAAATCTGTTAGTCTTTAAGGTGCCACCAGACTCCTTGTTGTTTTTGTAGATACAGACTAACACGGCTACCTCCTGATACTAAACATAGAACACACAGTTGTGTTCAAAGTAGAAAGATTTCAGGCTATATGTTGTTTGCCAAACTAATTACACAGTGATATCAGTATAATGAGAACCCCTGTAGGCAATGAGGATGTTTAAGAAGGACAAGGGTATTACTGAAGAGGACATAATGTGCTTTGCAATTTGCATAATATTTTGCAATAAAATAATTATAGAGTCACTATAGTAAAGAATAAGATTCTCAAACCTGTCTTCTCAGTGACTAACAACTTAATATTTTGGGCTGAAATTTCCTATAATTGTTCTCAGTCCAAAGGTGATATAAAAATAAAAAAAGATAGTAACTCAAATACTTTCTGTTTTATGTAACAACAAGAAAACACATTTTCTAGTTTAAAAATTTGTTCTTATTGCTGTGGGAACTATAATGTAATTACTGTATTTTTATGAGTTTAAAATTTCAACGTTAACAGATTTTGTTGATTTCATTTTTTGTTTTCAGCAAATTTTGTTATTGATTTTATTTTAGTTCAGTTTAGTTTTTAGATAATGCAATATTTAAGTTGAGATTTTATGTGTACAGAAGTCTGACAATTCAGTTAAGGGTCTCAAAACAATCAGGATAGTTTTATAATTTTTTAAAGTACAGAACTTGGTTGAGTTGTGTGTTTGTTTCATTGTCATATATTTTTTCCCTTTTGTCTTTAACAACATTTTTGGACTCATATGAATGAGACTCCTTTTAATAAAAATAACTTATTTTTCTTGGTTTTATGTGAGCTAATTGGATTTAGATTTTAAATGTATCTGTTTCAGACAGAGTATTTTATTACTATGTGACTAAGTAAACAAAATAAATAAGCTTAGTGAAACTACACAGGTTAAGAACATCCAAAGAAAATCATGTACTGCAAAACTTGCAAATGCTAAAAACTATTTAGTTTCAGATAATTTTAAGAGCAAAATAGTTCTTTCCAGACTGTACCTCTTGATGAGATATATTATTTGCTATATAAGAAAAAACAGTTTTGAAGTTATCTAAACTGAAAATCTATAATAAAGCGAAATAATTATAACTGAAATGTTTTCCACCATTTAAACTCAAATTGAATAGCTTGATATTTTGCTTCGCAAAAAGAAGTGGAACTAGCAAGCTAACAAACCATTTTATAATACCCATAAAAAAAACCTTGCTCAACCCCTGTCCGATCATCCAGCTGTTGTGTGAAATTAAGTATTAAGTTACAGAGAGTTGTAATGGACTGCTCTGTGTTTAATGTTTGTCTGTACTATTTTTTTCACACATCAACAGAAAGTTAGCTCCAGTTTCTGAAGTCATCTGAAAATTTCATTAACATATTCTGGGCATGAAGGCAAAATGATCTCCATTGACTATTGACTTCAATTGTGGATTCGCAAAGCAGTTTTTCCCCCCCAGGCATTGATGTATTCTACTGTCTATGGAAAGAGTAGCGATATGAATAAAACGTCTAGGAGCTATCAAAGTTGGTGAATGTGTGTTATCTCATTTACAAGTGTCCATCGTCTATGTTGACTGATAAGGTGAAATCATTGACATTGTACTGTAAAATATATATCCATGGATATTTGCAATTGCTTTTTAAGTGCAAAATGAAGACAAAGCAAATCAAATATCCTTTTGATCTGTGCTGTTTCTTAGTATTACTGAATAGTAATATGTAGCTACACAAAATAAGTATTACTATTCTCTTCTCAATATTGTTATTTCTCAATTATTTGTTTGAAATGCAGCTCTGCCACCTTTATTCATAATGAGCCAGATCTTCAGCTGGTGTAAATTAGCATCACTCCAAAATTGCTTTTACCAGCAGCTGAGGATCTTACCTGTTATGTTCTACCTTACTCTGCAAGTTCTCACAGTGATTTCAAAGGGCCTACTCAAAAAGTACAATATTCCTCAGTCTGAGTAAGTGTGACAAAATTGGGCCCTTAGAAGAAGTGATTTTGAATATAGTTTATTCCAGGCCTGTGACTGCATTAAACTTAGATATACGTTATTTTGTCCACAGGGTAATGATGTTCGGATAATCCTTGGCCAGTTTGATGAGCAAATGGCAGCAAAAGTGTTCTGTTGTGTAAGTAAAGATGTTTAATTGCATATTTGGGGAAAGAATGAATTACCTTTCAATAAACATACATCTGAAAACTTGAATTGCTATCCTGTGGGCCACCCCTGCAAACCAATAAGGCCTCAGTTCAAGGAAGCTCTTCAACACATGTTTAAATCCATCCCTGTTCAGGAAAACATGTAAGCACTTGATTTCAGTGGGACTTAAGCATGGGTTTATAGTTAGGGCCCTACCAAATTCATGGTCCATTTTGGTCAATTTCACAGTCATAGGATTTTAAAAATCATAAATTTAATGATTTCAGATATTTCTTATGCTGCTTTTCCTGGTGAGGGTCGCAGCAGCAGCATGGAGAGTAGGGAGGACCAGACCTCCTTGTCCTCCGCAACAGGTTCCAGTTCCTCCTGGGGGATTCCCCATTGTTCCCAGGCCAGTCAGGAGATATAATCCCTCCAGTGTGTCCTGGGTTGGCCTTGGGGCCTCCTCCCAGTGGGACGTGCCCAGTATAGATCCAACGGAAGCCTCCCAGGGGGCATCCTTATCAGATGCCCAAACCACCTCAGCTGGCACCTCTCGATCTGGAGGAGTAGCAGATGTACTCCAACACTCTCCTGAATAGCCAAGCTCCTCACCCTGTCTCAAAGAGTAAGCCCAGCCACCCTGTGGAGAAACCTCATTCCCGCTGCTTGTACCCGCAACCTTGTCCTTTCGGTCATTACCCAAAGTTCATTACCATAGGTGAGGATGGGGACGTAGTGCGACTTGTAAACCAAGAGCTTCGTCCAAAAACTCAACTCCCACTTCACCACCATGGATCAGTACAGCGCCCACATCACTGCCACCACCGCACCAATCCACTGATCGATCTCACACTCCCGCTTGCCATCACTCATGAACAAGATCCCTAGATACTTGAACTCGTCCACTAAGGGCAGCTGCTCCCCCCTCACCTGAAGAGAGCAGTCCACTTTCTTCTGGGCGAGGACCATGACCTCTGAACTGGAGGTACCAATTCTTATCCCACCCACTTCACACTCCGCAGCGAAACGTTCGAGTGCGCATCAGAGATCACAGTCTGAAGAAGCAAGAAGGACAACGTCATCTGCAAACAGCGGAGATGTCACTTCCGAGTCCCCGTACCAAATGCACTCCACAGCTCGGCTGCACCTTGATTTCCTGTCCATGAAAACTATGAACAAGAGTGGGGACAAGACGCATTCTTGGCAGAGTCCAACGCCCATCTTGAACGAACTCAACTTAATGCCAAGAATGCGAATGCAACTTTCACTCTGAGAATAGAGGGACCAGATAGCATGAAAAGGTGGTACTGGCACCTCATAATCCCACAGCACTTCCCCAAGACATCTCGGGGAATGCGGTCATATGCCTTATCCAGGTCTACAATGCAAAGGTAGACCAGATTAGCAAGCTCCCACGAGCCCTTGAGTATCTGTGAGAGAACGAAGAGCTGGTTCATTGTTCCATGGCCAGGAAGGAATCCTCATTGTTCCTCCTGAATCTGAGGTTCAACTAACGGGTGTAACCTCCTCTTCAGCACCCTGGCATAGGCTTTTCTGGGGAGGCTAAGGAGTGTGATCCCCCTATAGTTGGAACACTCTCTCTGGTCTCCTTTCTTAAAGATAGGGACCACCACCCTGGTTTACCGGTCCAGAGGTACTACATCTGTCTTCCCCACAACATTGAAGAGGCGCATTAACCACGACACCCTAACATTGTCCAGTGCTTTCAACATCTCTGGGCAAATCTCGCCCACCTCTGCTGCATTACCACTATGAAGGCACATAGATCCGATCTCGCCGGAGGTTTCCGGTGCTGCCTCCTGGAAGGGCGGGGGGAGGGTGTACATTGGGTTGAGGAGTTCCCCAAAGTGCTCCTTCCACCTCTCTATGATTTTCTCAGTCAAGGTCAGCATTTCACGACCCTTGCTGAGTACAGCCTGGGCAACATACTGCCAACCCCTCCTAAGGTGACAAATGGTTTGCCAGAACACCTTTGCGGCCATCTGGAAGTCATTCTTCATGGTATCTCCAAACTCCTTCCAAGCCTGGGCTTCAACAACCACCACAGCCGCAGCCGGTACCTCTCAACTGTATCAGGAGTCCAGTTCGCGAGCATTGCTCAGAAGGCTTCCTTCTTTGACTTGACAGCTTCCCTCACCACTGGAGTCCACCAGCGGGTCCCAGGGTTGCCACCATGACAGATACCAACTACCTTCAGGCCACAGCTTTCCATGGCTGCCTCAACAATTGAGGCCCTAAACATGGTCCACTCAGAATCAATGTCCAAGACCTCACCCAGAATGCAGGAGAAGTTCTTCCGGAGGTGGGAATTGAAGTCTTTCTGCGCAGGATCCTCCATGAGGCATTCCTAGGCAACATGCACTGATCATTTGGGCCTCCTGTGTCTATCCGGTCAGCATCTCATGCATCAGATCCAACTCACCACCAAGTGGTCATCAGTTAGCAGCTCTGCCACTTTCTTCACCGGAGTCTATAGAACATATGGCCTTAGGTCTGACAAGACGACTGTAAAGTTGATCATCGATCTTTGGCCCAAGGTGTTCTGGTACCAAGTACATTTACGAACAACCTGGTGTTCGAACATGGTGGAAGTAGAGAAAGAACTGACAGGGATTTGAAGGGGATTTCATAGTCAAACAGTCCCCTTATGTGAGCAAGAGTCAGACTAGCTGTAACCCTAATAACGCAAGATTTGTAGAAGCAAGGATTGTGTGAGGTGAGTGGGAAAGAACTGTGTGAGAAGTTGTTGCGACCTTGTGTTAGATAAGTATGGAATGTAGACTATAGTCTAAATAGAGGTGAGAAAAATAAGATATCAGGATGACCTATGTATAAAAAAATGCAGCTGTTGCTCATTATAATATGCAACAAAGGTATAAATGCTTGCTGTAATTGTTTACCTGGAGAGAGACCTGTTTAGCTCTCTCCCTCCATGCAATTGCTAGAGATAATAAAGTATCTGACTTGCTGCACCCAACCTGAGAGTGAGAACTCTCTTTTTCTCCGACAGTCTTATTTGTTATGGACAATCCATGATTAGCACAGAAGTCGAATAACAATTCACCTATTCACAATTCAGATATTTAAATCTGAAATTTCATGGTGTTGTAACTAACTAAATAAAATAAAATAAATATGAATAGAGCTAGAATGGACCTGAAAGGTCATTGAGTCCAGCCCCCTGCCTTCACTAGCAGGACTAAGTACTGATTTTGCCCCAGATCCCTAAGTGGCTCCCTCAAGGATTGAACTCATAACTCTGGGTTTAGCAGGCCAATGCTCAAACCACTGAGTTATCCCTCCCCCCCAATAACTGTAGGGGTCCCAACCCAAAATGGGGTTGTAAAGATATTGTAGGGGGGTTGTGGTATTCTGCACTGCTGCTGCTGGTGGCGCTGCCTTCAGAGCCTTCAGAGTTGGGTGGCCAGAGCTTCTGCCAGTGCAGAAGTAAGGATGGCATGGTATGGTATTTCCACCCTTATTTCTGTGCTGTTGCCTTCAGAGCTGGGCCCTCAGCCAGCCCTCTCCGGCCACCCAGATCTGAAGGCAGCTGCACAGAAGTAAGCATGGCATGGTATGGTATTGCCACCCCTACTTCTGTGCTGCTGCTGGTGGGGCATTGTCTTCAGAGCTTGTCGCCTGGCCAGCAGCTGCTGCTCTCCAGCCACCCAGATCTGAAGGCAGTGCAGAAGTAAAGGTGGCAATACCGTGACCCCCCTCCCAACACAATAATTTTGTGATGTCCCCACAACCCCCTTTTGGATTGGGAGCCCCAGTTTGAGAAATACTGGTCTCCCCCATGAAATCTGTATAGTATAGGATAAAAGTACACAAAAGACCAGATTTCACAAGGGAGACCAGGTCCGTGGTGCGTTTTTCACGGCCGTGAATTTGGTAGGGCCATATTTATAGTTAAGGATCTACTCAAGTGCTTTCCTGAATTGGGGCCTAAGCGAGTAGCCTTTACTCATGTGAATAGTACCATCGAAATCAGTATTTTTACTAACAAGAGTAAGGACTTGCTGTATCTGGCCCTGATACAGGAATTCTTTCGTGGTGCCAGAGTATTTTTCTTGCTGTAGGCTTTTTTTTTTTTCTTTTCCAAAGAATAAGAAATCTGTGGCCAAAAATAAGAAAGAATTCCAGTATTACTAACTACAGAAGCTATCCTCGTTACATTTACTTCTCAAAATTGTTCTATTCATATAATTAAAACTGAAGAGTCAAAACAATCTCTTCTTCTGAATATTGTAATTGTGTGACACATTCATTACAAAACCAAGTATTAATATGTAAAATCAAAGATTTCTGAAATTAAGAGAAATATGTATAAATTAAAGACTGGTACAAAATCATCATGCAATTAAATCATTTCCCCCAAATTTACACTTTATATCCATATACCGAGCATACACACATGATCCTGTTGAAATTATGGGGAGCAGGATCTGGACCTTTATTAGTATCTGATTGAAAAGAATAAACTAATTTTAAGGGCCCAAAATTTGTATTCATATTGAATTAATCTAAAGAAATCTAAGTGAATCAGAGTTTGTCCTATGTGAACACTGCAAATAAAAGATGCAGGCAAAACAAAAATGGCAAAATCTGACTTTAGACTCATTTTATAAAAAAGCAAAAATTGTTTTTTTTTCCTCCCAAGGCAGTCTTGCAGTGTTTGCATAGAGAAACAGAAATGTATACATCACAGCAAAGGAGTAAAAACCTAAAGTTCAAAATTAGATTGCTATATGTCATTTGGAAATATTTTGACTCTTACTCAGCAGCTGTCACTGTTGCAATAGTGGTAAGACAGGGATGTATCATGGTACTTTTTAGGGAAGCAGAAGAAAAGTCTGTTTTCTTCCTAATGTCAATGAAAAAGGTTTCATCTTTCTCTTTTCTCATCTCTGATTGTACAGATGTTAGCATTATCTCTGAGACACTCCCTGCAGTGCTCTGTGT